ACTATAAAAATTTAACCAAATAAAGTTCATATATCATATAATAATATGAATCAAAAATCTCAATTTTAGTTGGTGGGATCCCGAAAGGTGATTTTAATAGCTTAGCCCCCATATGCGTCTAGTTCTAAAGAATTACTACTACACTTCTTTAGTAAATCTTACATTTCTGACATTTTAGATCTATGCCATTTCCTTCCTTTCAATAATAAGTATTTGATCTAGACCACAGCCATAATTAATTGATCCTTTTAAAAAAAAATTAGAATTTGATTTGCTTTTTTTGAATTTTATAAATTGATCGTCATATCTTTCTCAGAAAATTAAATGATATTTTTATTGCAATAAAATTATTGAATGAAGTAAGGTGACAAGTGATAAAAAATTATTTGATAGCAAAATAAAAAATTTAAATACAAATTAAAAGAAAAAAAAGGATTCCTAATTATTGAAAATTTTTTTAAGAAAATCCGTAATCTTTGAAATAAAAATTTTAAAAGAATATAATTAGACAATTTCTATTTGTATATGGTCATATGTGACAATTTTGCAAAATAAGTTTTTAAACGTACCTTTATAATATAGAATATGAAGTAATATTATAATCATTATTAACACTACAGTATTGAATTTTTTTATATTATTCATTTTTAGCATTTCTGCTCTAATTTCACGCATAATTTTAACTTTAGAACATTTTGTAATCCTTTTGTTATTCATCTAAAAAAATGTAAAATTAACAGTTGGTATATGTAAATATAACTTTATTTACAAAATAAGTATACTTACTTTAAAAAAAAAATTATCAAAAGAAAAAAAAGAAAATGTGTAAGTATATTCATGATGGAAGTTTATTTTGATTTTATAGAATTAGTGTGATCAGGTGATTTGTCATCGATCAATTCAAATTATTTTTGTATTACTTGAAAAATTTAATCATTTTATAAAAATTAATTTATTATAATTATTTATTGTTTTATTATAATAAATAGTTACTAATTTTTAAAACATATCGAAAAAAAAAGTAAATTTTGTTTATTTAAAAAAAAATTAAAAAAAGAAACTTGTTCTTTCTTTAAAAAATCTTTTTTAAAAAATAATTTTAGCTTTCCTTATCATTCTTTTCATTGATAGATAAATACCTTTTTACTTTTATAAGAAAAGGCATAAAATTTTATCATAAATTTTATTAAAGAAAATATTTATGTAATAAGTTATTAAATCATTTAAAATAAAAAAATAAAATAATATAAAAAATTTTAAGTTGATATTGTTAATAACTGCTGACATCTTGCTTCTAAAGATTATGAACAAAATAGTTAAAGCTTATTTTTACGCTTTAGAGAAATTAGACATATAGGTATGCTAACTATCTCTAGACCTTATAAAAGTTAATAACTACAACTAGATCAACATGAAAATATCCTATAGCTTCATAGGATGAAGTTTGTCTGATTGGCTAATGTAGATCAATTGAATTTATATATTATACAGTATTTTTTGGGAAATAAGGTTTTATATAATAAAAGAATAAAATTAAATTTATATATTGCTTCATTGAGGTGTTAAAATACTACCTTTAAAATAAATTTCTTATAATTTTATATTTAAGGGACATTAGCTTAATAACAACATTTCATAAATGGGTAAAGAAAAAAGACTCAAAGGACATGTGCCATAGAAATTTGCAAAAGAAATCTTTAACATGGAAAACTGTTACTTGTCTAGTTCTATCTAAGGGAACAAATAACAAAACTCTTTCTAATTATATTAAAGAAAATGATATTATATGTTTAGATTGTTATAATGCAATTGTTATAAATGTGTCTTCTGAATTTCAGCAACATGCGTTGAATCAGCATTGTTATAGTGAATCAGAAACTTCTAATAATATTTTATCTTTTTCACAAACTATAGGTATACTTACGGATATTCTTTATGAAAGAGAATGTAAAGGATTACCACCAATTTGGATATTTAAAGAATTTCGTGCGGTTATGGAATCAGAAGATAAACGGTTGGAAACTTTCTTTGATGAATTATATTTATTAACCAACCCATCAAGAAAAAATAAAAATACAATGGAAAAGGTATCAAAGCAACTGGTATTTTTGTGTTATTTTATTTGTGGTATTAGAAACAAGTTTGTTAACAATGCAAAAAGAGATCTAGGAATGTATTTAGATTCTACTGGAATACCAAATTCAACAATAGACACCATGGTAACGTTAGGCATAACAATAACATCTCGTTCAATTTCCTACCATAAAGATACTGTGTCCAAAAAACATCTGACAACTGTGGAATCAAGTTTTGCAGATAGTACAAATGATACAATCATTTTAAATATCGACGATTATCATAGTATTCACACTAAAAGAATGCCTAACACAACCATAATATCAACTGCAGTACATCTTGCCATTATTCTACTTAATCCAATTAAAAATGAACCAGCAATATCAAAACAAGATATTCATAACCCTGCATTAGTTGATACTTCGTTAATCAAAATTGGAATTGAAAATTATTTTATGTTAACATATTCAATTTCTCATAACCGATGCTAGGGATTTCATTTTGTGAATGATAAAACAAGCTTAAAAAGTTAACAGTTCATAACTATGATATTCATTTAAAAGAAAAAGAAGTATTAGATCAATAAAAGATACTGTACTTGTAGATCTTGTGGAAAATAATCTTCATTCAATAGAAGCTTATATTAATGCTATTAACGTTATTACTTCTATTCCAACAATAAATAGATATATTAAAGAAGGCAATGTCATTCTAATTGTCACTGATTGGCTCAGTCAAATATTCTTAAGAACTGCTATATCACAGTATCTTGTTTATAGTAACTCATCTGGAATCACTGATAATATTTTATTATTTCTTCCAATGATAGGTCCTCTGCATATCTCACTGAATAGTCATGAGTTAATATTTCTCCAGTATCAACCGTTCTTCTCAGCAATATATAAATATATATTTGGTGAAAAAAAAATACTTGCTTAAAAGCCGAAGCTGTGGCGTATAAATTTGCTACTAGAACTCTTACGCAATGTATGGTAACAAATTGCAATGATGATTGAATTAAAATTTGATCATGTGTGTAAAGATGCAGAATATGTAACACTTAAGGATCTGCTAGATAACACAATTCCTCTGATTCTTGATATTTATGCTCTATTTTTTCGTGCTGGCGATTATAACTCTTATATTGAATCTTGTTTTCGTGTTTGGTCTATTTTTTTTAAATTTAACTGTAAAAATTATACTAAAGCGCCTTTGATGTTTCTTTTAGATTTTTTTATTGGCAATCAAAAAATCATTCAATTTTAAAAATGATGAGTGCTGAATTACCAAAATTCTCTGATACGCCTGTAGAAATCTTTTACAGTATTTTATGACTTAATACAGAAAAGCATCTTATGGCAGACCAAATAATAAAAGAAGCATGATATATCAACTATTTACGATTTAACGATGATGGCTTTAAGGAAAATTTTGTTTATATTTCAACTTGGGCAGTATATCAGTATTCTTCTCAGAATATTGTAACTTTGATACAAAAAACCACATACTTTCTTTTAGACTGTTTCTCAGATATTTATACTTGTATTTATCATAAGAAAATTCAATTTTTAATTTCATTACAGGTTGCTATAAATCATCCACTAAAAAAGAGTAAGAAAGCCAATGCTGAAAACAGCTTTCCTATTTCAGCAATGAAGATGAAGGAAGCGTGGCTTTGTCATCTACCTATAGAATATAGTTCTTCATATAAACCTAGTTTGTTTAGTTGTGATTCTTCTAGTTGTTCTATTACTAATATTATAATTACTATAGAAACAGGATGGTTATTACCTTGTGGCCATGCGTATTATAACATATGCTTCAGCCAGAATGGATCCAAATTCTTGCATTGTTTAAATTACATCAAGGATGATATTGACAAACATGTTCAATCACTATTGGATAGTCTATGCTGACTTAAATCAAATAACAATTTTGAAAGTGAAGAGTTCGATTCTATTTCTAAAGATGATTACGATAATACTAAGAAATCAGCCGATGGTATTTCAGCTCCTTGGGATAATACTATATCACGATTTCTTCTACTATAGTTATAATGATCATTTACAATTAGAAGAATCATGTTGTTTTTTTTTTTCATATGTAAAAAAAAGATTTATTAAAATAAAAAAATTTTTTTGAGCACAAAATCTATTTTTTTTTATTTGAATCAATAAAATAAACTTGGTTAACTAGGTAAAACTATATTAAATTTGACTTTAATATAATCTCATTATGACCTCAATATGACCTCAATATAATCTCAATATAACCTCAATATAACCTCAATATATTCAATATACTCAATATAATCTCAAATCTTATCATGTGATAATCATGTGACTTAAAATCAGCCAATCAAATTTTACAAAATCTTAAAATGATCTACACAAAATTAGCCAATCAGACGAACTTCTTACTATGACCTATAGCCAGAATGATTTAACTATCTATATATGCTAACTACTGACATATTACAAGAGGATTCATTCCTATAGAATGAAAATTATTCACTTTATTAAAACTTGTTATCATAATAAAAATCCAATATATTACATATTGGAGAAGTTATACCTGAGAATAGCTAGCTAAAAAATCTCATGCACTATCCTACAATGATAATACTTATATGAAGTTATAATTATTTAATTTTGCATTTCTTTAAATTGTTATATTCATGTGATAAATAAATAATTTATTATCTAATAATGATATTTATTAATTTTTTTAATATAAGTAAAATAACAAGTATTAACTTTAAATAGTTTTCTTATACTTACAAATAATGATAAAGAAGTAGCAAGTTTATTTTTTATTAAATTTTAATCATGAACAAAAATAAATAAGTTAATCTCGTTAAAAAGATTCTTTTATAATATTAATGTTAAATTTCTTCTTTCTACTTTACTACTTTTATTTTTTCAAAGTAGCTTGCTTATCTTATTCAATTGTTTGAGCCCTACTTGAAATTGAAATTATAGAACTCTACACATATTTTTTAACAAAACATTATGTTATTACAATTATAGATACCTGCAAAACCTTCTTAAAATAATTTTATCATACCTATTTTTATATTTTTAATATAATTTTAACAGTTTCAGCTTTTATTATATCTCTTATATAATTCTAATATAATTTCATCTAAGATTCAATTATTATTAAAAGGTTTTGTCTCTCATTTATAGTCACAATAAATATTAAACCAAGTATGTTATTTGTTTTGCAGCTTAAATTTTTATAAAATCGTCTAAACTTTTACATTTTTAGATGAAAACAACTGATAACAAAATTTTCCTGTAACTCTTATACTTTGTTGTGATATAGAAGATGATAATAATAATGAAATAATAACAATGTAAGAGTTAAAGCAAAATAGCATATTTTATGTTATTTGTATGTTTTATCAATATTTTTATAATCCTTACAGTATTTATATTAATAAATTGGCTGTAAAGTTATCAAATAATAAAGATGTTATTTTAAAAATTGCATTGATGTTGGTTAACAAATAGAAGAGTAGGTATAAAAAAAAGGTATTTTTTTAATAAATATATTTATTCGTATAAAAATATATCAATCAAAATAAACTTTAATATTTTAATAGAAAATCTTATTTAAAGATAACTTATATCTATCAAAATAAAAGGATTTGACTTTTGCAAAAATGGAATTAGAATTTACTTGCAACCCTACTTAGTATCTAGTTGAATCTTAAGTATCAGCTGTAAGTATATTAATATACTATATTATCAACACAAATTGAAAAAATAATATATATAGCTTTTATTACATTTATATTATCAAACAAATAAGTGAATAAATAATGTATTTTTACTTCTATATTCATATTTTAAACATATTACTTATTTTTACATTTTTCATTTAAAAATAGAGAACGATGATAGTGATATCTTTTAAAGATGATCATATCATCAAAAAAAGCTATGGTCAACTACCAGTCTAAAAAAAATTCATCCAGTATTAAAGATGTAAGGTTTAAGTTTATACTGCATAGTTATAGGCTTTTTGACTATAAAGTAATAAGTCAATCATTGGTGAAATTACATATAAGGCTTCTTAGTTTAACTACTGAACGCATAGAATAAAATGTATATAATTTGAATTCAGTGATCTGATGTCTTCTATTAGAGAAAAAAAGTATGAAAAGAATAGTTTAGTTTATAACTGATCAAAGTGGTAGTGATTTAAGTAGTAGAATTGGTTAAATTAAATATAAAGTAGCAAATAGTATAACTTTTTGTAAATAATAATTTTTTTTATTATTTAATGTAATAAAAAAAAATTTTTTTATATTAAGAAAAATATCTAAATTTTTGTAAATAATAATTTTTTAAAAAAAAGTTTAGAAAATTATATGAATATTTAATAATAAGTTATTATAAATAATATCAATTAAAAAAAATGTTGATTAAATAATAAATATTTAACATATACAAAAAAAAAAATTATATGATTACAAAATAGATTTATTTGAATTTAATTATTAAATCAATTCTTTTTAAATAAAATTAACCAAAATTTACAGTTTGTAGGAGACTTTGTCTTCTATTTAGTATTAAATAATTGATTTATAACCAATTCAATTATACTTATAATTTATTGTATATGTATATTTAACAAATTTTTTAGCAAAATATTTAATTATTTTTGATAAAAAAAAAGTCGAAATAATTTTAATTTTATAATGGTAAAGGAATAGTAGCCATTTATTCTAATCTATCATTCTTTAAGCATTGATTTTTCTGTAATAAAAGCAGAAGAATGTAATGAAGCAATATACACTTTTGACCAATTAGAGCGTTGGCTTAATATAACATATGCTTGACTAGCAGAGAAAATTTGATAATGAAGACATAAAGACACTTCAGATAAAGTTAATCCTTATGTTTTATGTACTATAAGAGCAAATGCATTTTGCAAAGAAAACTGATATCTATTTGATAGTTTTCCATTAATTATAAATGTAATTATTTCTTTTTTGATTTTAATATCAATAATGCCACCTATAACACTAAAAGCTATTCTTACTTGTAGAGTTTTTAAATTAATATCAATTACTACTTTAATAATACTATTATATATATTTTGTTCTATTAAATTATTTTTAAGATATATTACACAAGTATCTTATTGTAAACGTAAATGACTTGAAAGATTAGTATTTTTTTTAAATAAATTTTGAGAATCATTAGGATTGAATTGCTATCTATTAATAAAATCAATAGTTAAGCTGACTTTAGAAATCCATTTAGAATGAATATATTCTATAGATTAATTTTGTGTTAATAATTGTATTTCTGCTTGAGTTTTATGCTGTTTAATATAAAATTAAATATAAAAAAAATAAATATTAAAAGTTCTTAAATAATAAATATAAAAAAATAAATATTAAAATATTTTTAAATAATTAAAAATAATCAAATATAAAATAAATTTAAAATAAATTAGGTATTAAAAATTCTTATAAAATATATTATTTGTGAAAAAATAATAAATTTAAAAAGTTTTTAGTAGATACATGCAAACATTTCATGTGATGTAACTTAGTGATATTAAATCTCAGGAAGTATTTGTTATTTTTCTCTCCTCGTATACACCTCACTTTTAAAATAAATGATAATCACTTCTAAAAACTTCTCAAGAAAATAGAATTTTTATATAAATAAAAATTAAAAAGAAAAAATAGACTAAACTATGTATTCTTATTTATTACTTTAAAAGGATTTATTTGAAATAATAAAATTATTCTTCTTATTTTTTTTGAATCATATGTTTTTATTATTTCATTATTAAATATAAAAATAATATTTTATTCTTCATCTTGAATTTTTTTACATTAATTTCTTTTAGCTGATTTTGAAATAATTGATTTATTTGATAATGATATTTTTGAATTATGTAAAAGTTTTTTAAAAAAATATATAAAAAAAAAAATATTTTTAAAAAAAAAAATAATAAATTTTTAGTAAAACAAAGTTGAATATTTAAATTTGATTTGTATTATAAATATTATAGATTAAACATTAAAAAAAAAAGATTAAAAATTAAAAATAATTAAAAATTTTTAAAATTTTAATGTTAAAAAAATCAAAATAAAATTTTTAATCTGAATAACTTATTTTAAAAAGCTAAAAATACAAATAAATTTAATTAGATTAATTATATTAAACTTCAAAGAATTTATCTATTAAAATATCAAATTATAAACTTTAACTTGATTTCATTAGCATTAGTCACTTGATTAATTCAATTTAAATTTATTAAAATTGAATCTGAAAAATGTATTTAAAGAAAAAAGAAAATTTAAAAAAAAAATTTACTCAACAACCTGATTTATAATTATATACCTAAAAATAAATAAAAAAAGCATTTTATAAATCTGAAAATTTATTTAGTAATCAAAAAAAAAAAGTCATTAACCTAATGAATCTAAGAAAATAAATAAAAAAAATTGTTTTTAATAGTTAAAAAAAAAAAAATTAACTAAAAGAAAAGAAATTTGTTTAACAATTAATCAATCTTTATATGATAATTTTAATGCTTGAAAAAAAAATAAAAATGTAAAAAAAGATTATTATTCACCAATTTTTCTTCTTTATAGATTAAAAAGTAAATTATGAAAACGATACGTTTTAAAAAATTTTAGGTGGGATCATGCTGACATAAGAAAAAATAAAAAAGTTAAGAAAAAAAATCGACTCAATGAGAAAACACTTGCCTATTATTAAATCAACACCAAAACCTACTAATCAAATAAAAACAAAAAAAGAATAAAAAAATATAAAATTGAAGCAAATGAGAAAATGTTTGCCTATTTTCATTCGAACCCAAAAAAGAATGATTAAAAAAAAACCAATTGAATTACCTTTAACTTCCAAAAAAGCAAAAAAAAAAAAAACCAAAATTTAGAGCAAAAGAAATATCGGATCGTTATTGCACTAAACAATCGAACCTGAATCAAAGAATTCAAAAAAAAAAACTGAAAATTGGTTGGTATTTTGATCAAGAAAATTGCTACGTCACGCCA